GCAAAAACAAAAGCATGTGCGGCACAATGGTGTAATCAATTCAGAGAGTCATTACAACATGGAAGGAGGCCATTCTGTCCATTGAGTCCATGCCAGTTCTCTGTAAAGCAATCAAATCAGTTCCATTCTCCTGCTTTATCCTCTTAGCCCTACAAGTTTAATTCCCTCAAATGCCCATCCAATTTCCTTTTGAAAGCATCAATCATCTTCCTTTCTGTCACCCTGAAAAGCAAAAAGTTCCAAAGTTCTTCCTTGCTTACCCCTTGCATCTCTAGCAAAAACCTTACATCCTTGTACCATCAGCAAGTGGGAATAGCTGATCTTGATCTACTTTACCAAAGCCTGAAATAATCTTGTACACCTTTAATTATTCTCCCCTAAATGTCCTTTGCTCCAAGGAAGGCAAACTTAGCTTCTACAACCAAATCTGGGATAATTCTGGTGAATCCGCTCTGCAGCTTCCCAAAGGCCTTCTTAAGTGGTGACCAGTGGTGTTCTAACCAGAGTTTTATAAAGGTTAATCTTAACATCCCTACATTTGTACTTAATACCTCATGTGTCCTGCTGCTTTCCAAGATTTATATGAACTTCAAGGTTCCTCTGTCCTTGCACAATGTTTAGAGCTAAGCCATTGAATCTATATTACTGCTCCCTATCTCTTACAAGTTGCACATTTCATACTTCTCTATAAATTCCATCTGCCACTTATCTGCCTATTCTAGTAGTGTATTATCCTCATCGTCTGCCACACCTTCAAGTTTGGCATCATTAGCATGTTTTGAAAATTTACTCCATCTATTTAAATACATAAACCTAGTCCAAACACTGAGATGTGTTCACCATCCTGCAATTGGAAATACAAACATTTACCATTGTTCTCTGATTTCTGTCCTCGAGTCATATTTTTTAACCAAGTTGACATTTACCTTCCTATTGCACGAGACTTTTTTCAAAGCTAGTACTTAGTGTATGGATTTTAACAAAGCATTTGACATAACATTCACTGCATTTCCTTCATCCACTTTCTCTCTTATCTCATCAAAAAGTTCATTTATAATACTCAATCACTATCTGCCTTTTATAAATCCACATTGACTCTTATTAGTTACCTCAAACCTCGAGTGCCTGTTGATTTTTTTCCCTGCTTACTATTTTTAAAGCCTTATGCACCACTGATGTTAAATTGGCCAAACTGTAATGACTGTGACCAAAAACAGAAATTGCTGGAAAAATTCAGTAAGTCCAGCATTCTCTGTGGAGAGAAGGCACAGTTAATGTTTATGGTCTGCTGAACCTTTTCCAGCATTCTCTGTGGAGAGAAGGCACAGTTAATGTTTATGGTCTGCTGAACCTTTTCCAGCATCTTCAATTCTTTGGGGTTTTTTTTGTGTAATGATCAGGAATGCATTTCTTGAACAAGCATCTCGCATTTGCTACTGCTCAATCCTCTGCTATCTTTTCCAAGTCCAGTGAAGATTGGAAAGTTATGGAAAGCTCTTCCATCATCTTCACCTCAGGGTAGCAGAGATACAAGCTATTCAGATGAGGCAATTTATCCACTCTAAGTTGGGTCAACTTTGCCAGTACATCATACGTAACAATTTCAATCCATCCATTACCTCTACCATCTCCATTTCCGTAGATTCCCTGTCAGTGCCATCTTCTTCAGTAAACATCAATGTATTAAATATTCTAGCCTTGCTCTGCACCTCTAAGCAACTATCATTTTTTCCTCTTTTCAGCCCCCCACTCCTCCTGTTATTACCCATTTGATACTTACACTGTAGTAGAAGACTCTCGTGTTCCCTTTTATGTAAACTGAAATTATTTTCTCATTTTCTCTCGTTTATTGTATTTTCCTCTTGACTTTGCCTCTCCAGTTATAGTATTTGACCTAGTTCTCACTTGAAGAACTCATTGGATATGTGTCATAGACTCACTTCTTTTTGTTTCATGATATTCTCCGATTTCCTCATCATCCAAGAAGCCCTAGCTTTGGTTCACCTAGCTTTCTTTCTTAATGGAAAGTACCTAGCCCGTACCCAAACAATTTCCTGTTACAGTTTTCCCACCATATCCTGGTTCAGTTTTACCGTGGCCAAATCCAACTCACTCCCTTAAGTTTAGTCATCTTCTATAAATCTGTGTAAGAGCTTGTATGGACATTTGAAAATGTATGTGCAAATGTGTTAAAGAGAAAATAATTGTGTGTACAAGTAAACCAGAATCAGAGTGGGGAAATAATTAAGAGCAAAGACAAATTCTCCTCTCTCTTCCACCCTGGTAAATAGTTTGTATAATATTAATTGAAGAAACCCTCTCCCTTTTCTCAAAAGCCAAATGCTATGCATCACAGTAGCGGAAGCCCTACACAGTCAAATACTTACATTCATTATATATGTGAAAATGTTTGCTTGCATGCCTGACAAAATGTTACTGGGTAAATTTTATTAAACATTTTTAACAGCATTTATAATTTGCTACCCACAGATTTCTAATCATGCTTTACAAGGTTGAATGCTATTCCATTGTTACACAATCTGGAAACTCTTGGCTTTCTTTCATTTTTCTTCCATACATGTTCTGATGATTTTGACATCCCCTTGTAGTCACAAAATCTGTAGGATGATTTCCTCAATCACACCTAAGTAATCAATATTCATCTATGAATCAAGAAAGCCATTGCCAAAGCACAAAATAACTAAGTTAACTGATTATACAAAGAAAGCATCGTCATCTGAGCATGTGAATCGGGTAAACTCTTCAGTGCAGTGCTGAGGGAGCATTGGACTGTAAAAGAAACATTACACTAGAAATTTAGCAGTCTGTGCCAATGTGTATGCTCCAGTCAAGCCTCTTCACATCATTTTTCATCTAAATCAATAGATTCAATGGAATCATAAGTCTCTATTTTCTGTTAACTCCTACATCTGTGTAGTTTCATCACTAATGCATCCATATTATTCACTTCAACCACTCCCTGTATTACCAAGTTCCACATTCATACCACTTTTTGGGTAAAGATGTTTCTGAGTCCTCTATTGAGTTTCGTGGTGGTCAGTAGTTACATTCATCCTTAAAAGAGAAACATTGTCTCTGTGTCCACTCTTTCAGAATATTTCATAATTTTAAATAACTATTACAGCTCGATTAAAAGTTTTATTCAGATATGGAAAGAGGGCAGCACTGGCTGGACCAGCATTTATTATCATCCCTAGTTGGAAATGCTGAGGATAAAGATTGAGTTGGTAAAGTAATGCCGTGGAAATATTCCACTGTTGGAGGATTAGTACTGAGGGGAGTGCTACACTGTTAAAGGGGCAGTAGCGAGGGAGCACCACTCAGTACGAGGGGTAGAACTGACAGACTGCTACACTGTAAATGTGGCATCTTTCTAATGAAATTTTAAACAAAGGCCCTGTCTCCTCTCTAAATTGGACATAAAATATTCCACAATATGACTTTGAAGAAGAGGAGAATGGTTATTTCCAGTGTTCTAGAGCCAATATTTACCCCTTAACTAACATGCCCTAAAACAGATTGGCTGATCATTATAACATTGTGGGATCGTGCAGTGTATAAATTGGTTGCTACATTGCTATATAACTGCGACTACACTTCAAAAATATTTCATCTTGTGAAAGGGTTATTTATTTACAAGTACTTTTAAAACATTTTTCTGTCACCAAATTAATAATTGAGCAATTTTTCATTATTTGCAAAGAACTGTAAATAATATGTAGTACTGGTGACCTGTGGATGGGGTATAAGACTGGTGAGTGGTTTGAAGTAAGCTGTAGATGGCCATAAGACACGAGCAGTGGGTAAGGAGGCCGCGCACACTGCAGGTGGCGTCGGACAGTTTTACTATAAGATACTTTTTATTTACCATTGGAATGTGAACATCAATAGTAAGACCAGGATTTATTGGTCATCCCTAAATGCTCTTGAGAAAGTGTTCACAAGCAGCTCATTGAACTGCTGCAATCCACAGGTGAGTAGGTACAGCCACATTGTTATTCAGGAGAGTGTAGCTGGAATTTAGCACAGTGTCTGTGACAGAATAGTCATATATTTCTAAGTTCAAATGTGGGCTTGGAGGGGAATTTACTGCTGGCAGCATCCTTTTAGGTAGTAAAGATCACATTTTTTGAAGATACTGTCAAAGCAATCTTAGCAAGCATTTGTAGAGAGTCTCATAAAATGATACACACTGCTGCGATTATGCACTGGGTGGTAGAGGGACTGAATGTTTAAGGTGATGGATAGAGTGCCAATTAAGTGGGCTTCTTAGTACTGCACATGCACAACTACTTTTGAAATTGCACCCATCCAGGCAAGTGAAGAGCATTCTATCACTGATTTGTGCCTTGTAGATGGTGGATTGGCTTTGGAGAAGTATTCAATGTAGAATTTTCAGTATCTAACCAGTTCTTGCAGCCTCAATATTTATATAGCTGGCCCAGTTAAGTTTCTGGTCAATGTAACCCCAAGATGTTGCTAGTATAGTATTCAGTGATGGTAATGTCATTGAATGTCAAAGGATGTTGACTAGATTTTATTTTGTTGGAGATGTCTAGCACTTGTCTAGAATGGGACAAATGTTACTTGTCATTTGTCAGCCCAACCCTGGAAGTTGTCCTGGTCTTGCTGCATATGAACATGGACCATTTCAGTACTAGAAGAGTTGTGAATGATACTGAATAATGTGCAACCATCGGAACATCCTCCCTTCTGACCTTCTGTCCAGAGGAAGGGTCATCAATGATGCAGGTGAAGATGGTGGGGCCTGAAACACCACCCTGTGGAACTCCTGCACTGATATATTGGGACTGGGAAGATTGACCCCCTATAACCACAACCATCTACCTTTGTGCTGGGTATGACTCTAACCAATGGAGAATTTTGTCTCTGACTCCCATTAGCTTTGATTTTGCTCAGGATCCTTGACATCACATTCAATCAAGTGCTACTTCAATGTGAAGGACTGTAACTGTCACCTGTAGAAATTAGCTCTTTTGTTTGGACCAAGTCTGGAGCCCAGTGGTCCTGGTAGGATCCAAACTGAGTGTCAGTCAGCAAACAGCTGGCAAGTTTCGACGGCAGTGCAGAATAAATTCAGGCTTCTGGGATGTCTGAAAGCTGATGTCTTTCTAACCTGGAATGAAGAATCTGGATTTCAGTTTTGTCACTCACTATAATTCCAGTGCTTCAACAACCTTATTTCAATATTTTCCCATACTATATTTTGAACCTTCAATCTGTATCTTGAAGCAAACTGTAGATATTTTAAAAATGTACAGTGAGTGATTCAAAACATTGAAATAGTTGGATTAAAGGAGTGAAGCAGAACGGGCCGGGATATAGAACGTCTGCAATGAAGCAGGTTCCAGCCAGAAATCGCAGTCTGGGTCTAACCAGTGACTCCCGTTAGAATGGCGGCTCAAACATCAAATGCTGCCTGAACTGAATACTTCATCCACAGTGGAAGCGGAGGCAAGTAGAGAGCTGGAACTTGTTCTGAACATTTCACAAGATTAACGTGAGAGCGACCTCATCTGCAAAGAAGGTCAAATCCCACGTTAAATGAGGGCTTTCGAAAGTAATGATAAATAGGAAAGTAGCAAGAAAGCAGATCAGAACAACCAATGGGCGTTTCTTGGAGGGCACGAAGCCAACAGTGACACTCGCTGGGGGTAACTCCAGTCCCCGCGACTCTCACTGGCTGGGGGGGCGGAGGTAACCCCTG